AAGGGCAACTAGGGGCCATAGTCTCAGTGGTTACAATGCCTGGTCTTTTTGGTGATTTGGAGTTTTGTTCCACACTGTTCTCCCACTCTACCCAGTGGAGGAGAGCTTAATTTCTTCAGCCCTTTGGTTTATGGACGGCTGCGGTCTGCAGTGGGAGCCCTAACTCCGTTTTGAGGCTCAACATCTTTTCAGGCGCCATGTGGGTTCTTTCCGACCATAAACCAGCATCGTGGCGATGCCGGGCCGGGTTCCAGGACAAAGCCAGCGAGGGGCCGTTCACCTTCAGGAAGAGTGTGGATGAAAGTACGTTATTATCCTCGGCCTGGGAGTGTCCTTTCTGACTTAAGGTTGGGGTCTTGGTGTTGTCTTGTCGCCACCTACTGGCTAAGACTCAGGCTGCATGGCCAGGGGTCACAGCCTCTCGGGACCACCACCCGGCCAGGGGGTCAAGGCCCAGCACCAATCCCATAACCCTTTCCTATCTTCAAATCCCAATGGATTTACCGCCCTCCTGTAGTCCCGCCTCCCACAGTGACGCATCTATCCACGACCAATCCAGATTCTGTGATGATTTGAAATGTCTTTGTTCTGTCCCACGCTTAAACAAAGTGTCTCTATTGAACCTATTTGAATTTGGGGTCTTTTTTTCCCCTAATAATGCCAGGATCTCCTGGGGTGATCCCTTTCCAAGTGGCTCCACGGGGTTTTCTTAGCTGTGTCCCCGTCACGGCATGGCGACCCCCATGTGTTGCAAAAGTGGAACTGTTTCGTAGGCTTTTTTATTAGCTGTACCTGTTAGGGAGCTCTGCTGGTGTAGTGCTTAAGGCACTTGACTGCTAACCAGAGGCTGGCAGTTCGAACCTAGCAACCACTCCGCAGAAGGAAGACTGGGCAATCTACTTCTGTAAGGATTTCCTGCCCTGGAAGCCTATAGTGAGAATAGACTCCATGGCAGTGGGTGTGCTTTGGGCTTTGCTTCTGGGAAGATTGACAGCCTTGGAAACCCTGTGGTGCAGTTCCATTCTGTCCTCTAGGGGCGCTGTGAGTCACAATTCACTCCACAGCATTGGGTGTGCTTCTGTAAAGATTGACAGCCTTGGAAACCCAACCGGGGTGACTGTGAGTCAGAATTGACTTGACTTGATGGCAATGAGTTTGGTCTTGGTTTGGCCCATGTTCTGCAAAGTACAACTGCTCTGTGGGGTGTCTTGGCTGCAATGTTTACTGTATTAGGTCTTTCTTCCACTGAGCACTGAATGGATTCAACCACCAACCTCTGGATTAGCAGGTGACCTCAAACCACTTGTGCCACACAGGCTCCTGAGAATCTATCTAACCAAATGGCGGGGGGGTGGGGTGGTGCAGGCACTGCCATCCAGTTGCATCTGACTCCCAGCGACTCCTCCTTGGGTTTGCGAGGCAATATCACTATGGAAGTAGATTGCCCAACCTTCCTTCCGGCGCGTGGCCTAGCTGATAGTTAAAACACCCCGCTAACGCACAATACCAAAAACCGAGCCCACTGCCCGACCAGTCCCTTCCAGCTCAGTGAACCTATAGGACAGACCAGAAGTGTCCCATAGGGTATCCAAGGCTGGACATCTTTATGGGAGCAGCTAGACAGGCTGGTGGATTCCAATCACAGAGGGTTTAACCTCGAGCGCTTTAACCAGTGCTCCACGGGGCGCCTTCTGGCCAACAGTAGAGAAGAAACCCATCATTCTGGCCTTTAAATACCAGTCTTAGTTGTCCGTTGTCCCGGGCAAGGCCCCTGAGATGGAGGACCGGGGCTCGCCCAGCCAGGTGGCTTCCTGGAGGTCAAGGGGGGTGCTTCCTCCTGCCAGGTCCTGTGTCAATTCCAAAGGTCCTGGTGGGCCCCAGCCTCCCGGGAATGCCCGCCCCCATGCGCCCAGGGACCCAGGAAAAGCTGTTTGCAGCTCAGTTCCAGGGATTAGAAAGGATTAAGGAGAGGGGCGGCCCCACGGCCCTGCCTCGAAGCTCCTGGGGGCACCGGTGCTGGTCTGGGCGTAGCGCCGCGGACGAGGTCCTGCGCGGGGCCTGCCTCGCCACCGGTGGGAGCGCGCAGGGGCCCGGGGGGCGCAATGCCCGCCTCCAGGTGCGCGGAGCCCGGAGGGGTGGGGACAAGGGAACGAGGTGCTGGGGCCCGGCCCGGCTGCAGGGCGAGAGAGAGCGGATGCAACCAGCTGCCGGCACCCAGGACGCGGCCCGACCCAGACGGGGTGGGAGGTGAGGGGGAGCGAAGCGCAGCGGGAGCCGGGCTGCAGGTCTTCACTCCGGATCCCAGGGGGGCGGCCGGGAGGAGGCGGCCGAGGCAGGGGGGAGGGGAGGTTCAGGAGGAGTAAGAAAGGCGGAAGGGCAGCACGCAGCGGAAGGGGCGGGGAATGGAGAGGGTGGGGCGGGCGCTGGACACGCCCCCACGGAGAGTGCGCATGCGACCCTGCCCTACGCCCCGGGACACTCCGGGTCTTGCACCTTGACGTGGTGCCTCCTCGCCGTGGGAAGGTGTGACCCGTCCTCCTCAAACCATAAAATGCAAACCCACTGCCACCATCCACTCATTGGGTTTCTGAGGCGTTAAATCTTCCGGGAATTAGATTGCACCGGCTTCCTTCTGCGGAGTGGCTGGTGGGTTTGAACCGCCAACCTTCTGGTTAGCAGTCAAATGCCTTAAGCACTGCGCCATCAGGCCTCCTGTGACACCCACGGGCGCTCCATTAACTACGCCCGTCGCCTTGCTCCTCCTCTCGTAGGAGGCTGTGACCCCCCTAACCCCAAAATCCAGGCCACGCCCCCTCTCCCGGTAGCGCAGTCGGTCCCCATCCTCCTCGTGGGTCCGCCACACCCCCTTCGTCGCTCCTCGGGCCCCTCCCGCGGCCTTGACCCTCGGGTTCCCCCCAATGCTGTCTCCCCGGGGTGCTACCGAGGACCTGGACGGCGCTGGGCCCTCCAACCCGAAGCTGGGATCCGAACTAGCAGGGTTCAGGCCAGTCTTTCCGGGTCCCCGCCCTTTCTGGGGCGGGGAAACCTAGGGTCCGCCCCCGGAACACTCCAAAGGCCTTTTGCACCCTTTCATGGGTGACACCCCCAAGAAGCGCTGAAAATCCTCGCTGGGGCTATTTTGCAAAAACAGGTCCGGCTACTTGGTGCGTCCGTCCGGGGGCACCTCCGACTCCCTGTGAAGCCTTTTGAAATGTAAGTCGCCCCCGTTGGCCGACTCCCGGGCCCCGCCTCCACGCATGCGCAGTCCGAGCTCCGCGCGCCGCGGGCCATGGCGCCCGGGGGCCCCGCGTCTCTTTCTCGCGGTGGAGAGACGCTGGTTCACAAAAAACCGAGCTTGCACAGACCGCGGCTTAAAACAAAACAGCAAGCGAGTGTGCCCAGGTTACTGGCGTGTGCTGAGTGATGCAGGCCTTGCAAGAGGAAATGGGTGCAAAACAGATGCACTCATGTGGTGGTAGTTTACCGACTGCAGGCGAGCTGGCGCAATGATGAAGTGCTTGGCCACTCACAGGACGCTGTCGGTTTCAACCTACCCAGCGTCTCCGCGGGAGGAAGGACCTACCCCTGTCCTCCCTTGGAGCTGGGCCAGCGAGCAGTGCTTACATGGGGCTTCCAACCAAAAGGTCAGAGGTCTGAACCCACTAGTTCTCCACAGCCACCAGCCACTCCTGGAAAGGAAGGTTGTGCAATCTACTTCTGTAGTGATACCGCCTCGGAACCCCAAGGAGGGGTCGCTAGGAGTCAAGTCAAGTCAATGGCAGTGAGTTTGGTTTGGGCTTTGCTTCCATGAGCTCAGGTGGCGTAGTGCCTAAGACACTTGCCTGCTAACCAGAAGGCTGGCGGTTCAAACCCACCAGCCACTCCTCGGAAGGAAGGTTGGGCAATCTACTTCCATAGTGATACCACCTCGGAAACCCAAGGAGGGGTCGCTAGAAGTCCACAGCACATAACAACCACATAACAAGTTCCTCCCCAGGAGAAGGATGAGGCAGTCTGCTTCCACGGAGATTGACAGCCCTGCAAACTGGTAGTGGGTGTCAGCTTGGCCGGGCCTGGTTCTGAGCGGCTGGGCACCTGGGTGTGGTTAGTGTTCCCCATGATGAGACTGGTCATCACCTCCACGGTGGAATCTCTTGGGGCAGCTGAGGACGTGCCTTACGGCCGTGGTCTGCTCCCAATCCATAAAGAGCAGCTTCGAGAACGGTCTCTGCAGCTTTTTGGCACGCTTGGACCCCACACGTAGCCCAGTCTTTGTTCAGCAGCCTGCTGTTTTCTGCCAATCTTAGAACTGCCTCTCGTCTTGCACTACTGGCCTGCCATGTTGTTTGGTAACCTTGGGACGGTGCCCTTTTACTTGTCGACCTGGGTCTCGTCAGAGAAGCCTCCAGCTTCGGTGGGCCGGGAGCAAGACAGAGCTGAAGGCCAGGCCCTAAAACTGGCACTTTGAACTCAGACTTGTAGCCTCGAAAACTGTGAGAGAATAAACCCCTATGTGTTAAATCTACCCATTTGTGCTATTTCTGTTGGAGCAGCGGTAGAGGACCAATCAGAAACCCTGTGGGGGTCGTGGGGAGTCCGACTCACTCCATGGCAGTGGGTTTGCTTTATCTGCTCTGTTAAAGATGACGGTCTTGGCAAAACATACTACACAAAACATTGGTCCACCTCCTACTTTGGCGAGTAGCTACTGGAATCTTAAAAGCTTGCAAGCGGCCCTCTAGATGCAACGAAGGGTGTCTCTTCATCCAGAACAAAGAAGAATGAAGAAAATAAAAGATTCATGGAAACAATTACTCTAAGTGACTGGTACACCATGCAATCCGCAGCCTATACAACTAAGAGACCAGATGAACTAGGTGGTGCCCGGCTACCACTGTCAACCACTCCGAGGGGATCGGTGCGGGAGATCCTGGGTAGAGAGGGAGAACAAGGTGGAACAAAACTCAAAATCATTAAAAAAAAAAAGTAGGGGGGGAACAGGTTTGCTGGTCTGGCAGAGCCTGGTGGAACCACTGAGACTATGGCCCCTAGCTGCCCTTCAGGTCTGGAATTGAACCCACACCTGTGGCTTCCAGCCAAACGAAAGACAGGCATGTGAGTTGAACATGTACCTGAGGTAGATACACTCCTTGGAGAGAACAATCCTGGGAGAAAGAAGGGCTGTGTGTGCACAGGGAGACAGCTCAGGGGGCAGGGGTACATTGTGGGAAATTGTCAATGTCATGAGACAAAGTGTATATGAGCTGCTGTATGGAAAGTGAATTGGCTGTGTAAACTTCCACCCAAATGACAATTAAAAAAAAAAAAAAAAAGATGACAGCCTTGGAGACCCCATGGGGCCTTTGGGGTCTGTCACCCGGGGTGGTTTGGAGTGGCACTCTGTTCAAGGGCACCCACCCACCCCCAGTGGGAACTGGCCCAGCTGTTCGACACACCTCCTTTCTGTCCTAAATCACAGGAAATTCTTTCTGCCTTTTGCTCTCCAGGGACCGTTCCTGGGCTCTGCTGGCTGCGTGTCTGCTTCTGGGGGCGTGTGAGCTAAGAGCGGACAAAACCTTCCGCCCCAATATTCTCCTGATGATGGCAGATGACCTCGGCATCGGGGACCTTGGCTGCTATGGAAACGATACGCTGAGGTAAAGCTGCTGTTGGAATGGGTTTGTGTAAAATCGCGTGTGGCCAGGTGATGCATTTAAAATCAGCCTGTACGAACCCGGGATGCCCTTGGTGCATCAAAATTCAACACCAAAATATACAGAGACAGATTTTTCTACACAGAGAGAGGGCTTGGAAGGTTTCGAACAATGAGATTGGACGGGGTGTTGCATATTTCCTGTGGCTGTAACATATTACCCACACCTGGGTGACTGAAAAACAGTGGAAATGTACAGTGGGTCTCATCCCTGGAGGTTGGAGTCCGAGGTCAAGGTGTGGGTGGGGCTGGCTCCCTCCGAGGCCCGAGGGCAGGGTCCTTCCTGTCTCTCCAGCTTCTGGGGCCCCAGGCTCCAATCACTGCTCCGTTTTCATGGGGCCTTCTCCCAGGGTTCAATCTCTTGTAAGGAGACCTGTCATTGGATTGATGGCTCACCCTGGCAATCCAGTAAGGTCTCATCTCAAGTCCTACCTTATACTTAGAAAGACCTTATTTCCCAGTAAAGAGTTCTGGTGGCATAGTGCCTAAGGCACTTGACTGCTAACCAGAAGGCTGGCAGTTCAAACCCACCAGCCACTCCTCAGAAGGAAGGTTGGGCAATCT